CCACCAAGCTTGATTTTGAAACTTCGGTGAAATTCCTCGTTTTTGATGTGATCATGTAGCGCTCGAAGATGAGACCGACTTTTATTCTTGCCCCAAGTGGATTTGAGCATGGTAGCCTTGTAGATCGTAGAGAGAAGGTGAAGAGCTCTTTTTTTTTTTCCCTCTTTTCTCCTCTCACGTTAACCGGCTGAAGAAAATGTGGAGGAAATTAGATTTCCCCCCTTTTTATACCCTCCATTTACTTGGCTTACATTGTGCAATACAGTCTCTTTTTCCCATGTCCGTTTTCATCCCGAAACGATTAAATTTCGTCCCGGTTCAAGTTCAAATTAATTTTATTTTAATTTGCCTTAAATTATTTTCCAAATTTTAAAATTTTATCAAAAATTTTTGTTTTTGGATCACCTGAGACTCGACCGTCTCGTAAAACGTAAAAAATTCGACTATCTCGAAATTTGATGAAATTTGACATGGTTATTAGATTTTGCGAGATAAATCCAATGGTGGGATCCATTTCGTCATCCGAGATCTAGGAAATTTCAGGTTTTCAACCCGTATTGTAGCGGCAAAAATACTGTTTTGCCATTGTTTACAAAAGTTTAAATTTATCGGGTTTTACATGACTAATAGGGATTTGTTTTCTATTTTCGTGGGTAATGGGTTGTTTGATTTTTTCAACTATTCATTCCTTGGATTTTGATTGTTCTTTCGAATTAATTTTGATATTTTTGGTCTATATCACATCTATAGAATTGAATTGAAAAAGATTGTTAATTGCACTATGAAAGAAAATGTTTTTGGTCTATATCATTGAGATTTTGGAATATTATATTTATTTTATTGTGGAATTTGTACTGCATTTTTGCGAGTTTGAGATTTCACTGATATTTTGGCCTACGTCACTGTTATATTTGAAACTATTTGTCAATTGGTTGTGAAAGAAGGTTTGTTTGGTCTATATTACTTTTATATTATCAATATAAACTATTAATTGTTCTACCCACCTCACCAAATCCCTTATCAACCATTACGAGCTCCTATTTTTGTAGGTTGTGGAATGTGCGTGAGTATATTGCTTCTGTTTATGTTTAATGCAGTATGGGTCTTTGTTCATTTGCCGGTCTATTAATATTATTGGGATTCTGTTATTCATTTATTTTTTTCAAGTATAAGTTTAAACAGCTAATGGAAAATTTTGAAATGCTAATTTGTGCTTCTATCATTGTACTTTAGATTTAATTGAATTTTTTATTTCAACAAAGAAGGTTAGCATGCAAACTATGGAAGAGGCGCTCCTAAGATAGTAGAAGAAGCACTTATAAATGATTGATCAGGTATCCTATATACATGGACTGTCTTTATGTTTCAATGCAAACTATGATTGCTGCACTTCTTGGAACCAAAACAATGGAAAAGTTCATGTCCTATTCACCTTTAAGTTTCCTAATATTTCTTTGCAATGACACGCTTTGTTGTTTAATGTATTTTTGGCTATAATTTAAGTTTAAAATCATTAATTCGAAGGAAGTCATTATAGCGAGACCTTCAAAAATTAATTGTTGAATCTGGGCTGTCCTTGGGATATTCTCTATTGCAGGGTTTGTTTTGTTTTTCGTTCACCATCACCATCAGCATGAAGATCGGGTTGAACAACCATTAATGGTAAGACGATAGCAAACCCAGATAATAGTTTTAGTTTTGTTGCCTCTGTTGTTGCTTGGATTTTTCGTTGAATAGGCTTCCAATTTGATAAAAGTCGATAGTGGTAAGGTTTTTTGAGTTTATAACTATCTAAGTGTGTATGTATACCAGACTTAGAGTTTATGGTTTTTTAACCATTTTTCATGTAAATAATTCTCAATTTTTTATTGATAATTGTTTATTTGTATGCCCATTGGTAATTTGGCATCATATTCTTACTTGAAAGATGACAATTAGATAGTTTCTCAATTATTAAGGTTCTTTCAAAATGCTAAACACATCGTTCAATAAGGTTCTGCTCCAGCTTCATTTTTATCAGCAGCTTCATTACACCATGGATGTTTAAACCTTCCATTTACTGATCTCCCACCCAAACACCTATCCCTTCTAAGCTTCCTTGGCAACCCAAAATTCCAATGACCCATATCACCACCGGTGGTGTGTCTTCTCCTTCATTTTCTGTTCGCTCTTCCTTTTCCCTCTGTGACCGATCCCTCAGGTCCATTTCTGTTGTTCTGCTATATGGGCGTATGTGAAAATTGTTGTATTTATTGTCTGAATAATAGTTTTGGGTATATATGTGGATATGCAGTGCTTGGAGTTGGCTTTGCTGGGTTGTCTGTAGTTTGGCATTTGTTGCAAGTACTCTCTCTCTCACTCACACACACACCCCCCCTAACGGAATTCAGTTTCAATTTTAAGAGTATGGGGTTATGTTTCCTGTGATTGGAAGATAAAAGCTTTTTGTTGTGTTCAGTTTGGTTGCGGAGAAGTGAGAATCTGTGAGGGAAAGACACAAAAGAAATGAAAACCAGGAGCTGCAACACTACAAATTATTCTATTGCTTTGGTAATTAAGATAGCAAGGCATTTGGGGATGTCCTGAACATTTTTTTGATTGGAAGATGTTAATGCATGGTAATAAGACAGGTGGTCTCATTATTACCGTTGACTGTTTTCAAAGTTAGAGTGGTCAAGAAAATCATGACAACTAACATAAGGAATCAATAAACTTGAAGAATTACCAAGTTAACATTAGTCGTAGTTGATGAAGTATTCCTGTTGTAGAATCCCTCTTTGAGTATGAAAATACACAGTTCAGATTGAGTTTTGTTGTAGATTTTATTTTAGCCTTTTAAGCAGTAGTTAATGGGATTCAGACCATGGTGTTTGCTCCTCAAGAGTTCCATCTTTACCGCTAGGCCAAGACACCAGTTGTCATAGATTTCAATGGTTTTGTATAGTCAACCATTGGACATGTTTTTCTGAATTTGTTGTTTGCTTTGACTAGTGTTGAACCATAGGGTGGAGTTAGTCTTATCAGTGATAGTTTTGAATGTGCCATGGTGCTCCTTTTCAGAAGCTAACTGAAGGGTTTTGTATGGAATTTTTTGAATTCCTGCTTCTAACTTCAATTGAATTATGTCTCCAATTTTTTTAATTTATTGTTAAATTGAACCTTTTTGTGCATCCAATATTTTTGGCTGTTCTACTTATGTCAATGAGCACGATTGTGTATGCAGTTTTTTTCAATTGCGAATGACCTTTAGGCAGGGAGACTATCTTTGTGCATATACGTGTTTTTTTTTTGCGATGATTTGAAAAAAACGTCTGGCAAAACGCAATTCTCTCTTAATTATTTTTGGCGGGAGAAATGGCGGGAAGTGACAATTTTTTACGAAATTTTTTTTTTTTGTGGCAAATAGTTTTATCTCGTAGCAAAAAATAAATAATCTAAAATTTAAAGTAAAATAAATTCTAAAATTTTATTTTAGCAGTTTTTTGCGACGTTTTTTCAAAAACGTCTCGAAAAAGCGATCCCTCCTAATTGTTTTTGGCGGGAGAAATGACACGAATTAGCAAATTAAATAAAAAAATAATAATTTAATGAAATTTTCACGACGTCAATAAATATTTAGGTAAATAAAAAATTTTAAAAATAATAGTTAAATTAATTTTTTGTGACGTGTTTAGATAAACGTCGCAAATAATTTTTTACGTAAATTAAAAATTTTTTAAAAAATAATTAAATTATTTTTCGTGACGTTTTTAAACAATGTCGCTAATAAATTTTTATGTAAATAAAAATTTAAAAAAATAATAATTAAATTAATTTTTCGCGACGTTTTTAGAAAAATGTCTACCAATAATTTTTTTCGTAAATAAAAAATTTAAAAAATAATAATTAAATTAATTTTTAGTTACTTTTTTAGAAAAACGCCGCAAATAAATTTTTATATAAATAAAAAATTTTAAAAATAATAATTTAATTAATTTTTAACGACGTTTTAAGTTTGTCGGGAATATTCCTATCTCATAATATTTTTGTGACGTCTTTTAATTTCGTCGCAGAATATAATTTTTAAAAAAAAATTTTGCCCTAAATTCTTTTTGTTTTTTTGTCCAAGTACTTTCTCGCCGCTTCCTTCTCTGACGACACTCCTCGCCATCTCTCTCTCGCTCTCTCTCTCCTGCTCTGCTGCCTTGAGTTCGACCGAGAAGATTGAGTTTTTTATCGCTGCCTTGAGGTCGACAGGGCCCTGAATACTCCAAGAATTGGTGATCTAGAGCTTTCGTCTGAGAGCTTACGAATAAGATCTCAATTATAAGGTTTCAGATCGTCGCTGCAGGAAGAATAAGTGAAGAATTTCTATGAAATCTATCCAGAAATCGGTGAAATAGCCAAGGACGTGAGCTAAATTGCCAACCTCCAATCAAAGATTTGAGGCCTCAGCCTCGAGCTCCAACACCGTCTTTATCTCATCAATAACAGAGATCCAAAGGTTCCCCCCCTCTCTCTCAACTCAAAACCCTAACTTTCACTCTGCACCAACCTAACACCTCAATGGAATGATATCTCTCATCAGAGATCTATCCGACAAAATCCAAGGCCCTCTCTCTCTACATACATTTTGGAGTATTATGGTGGTATTTATTTATATTGTTGTGTAAGCTAGCTCTAATTGGGATTTATGAGAGCTTTGCAAATGATTTGGCATTGCAGAGATGTTGATTAAAGGGCACCTTTTGATGTTTTATGTTGATTTGGATTCAATTCTTGCTGATGACTGTAATTTGGAAACATTTTGGGACGTTTTGTTACCCTATTAAGACAATTTATGATGAGAGATATACATACACATTAAATAAGCTATCAATTACATACACAACAAAAAATGTTGCCCTTGGGTTTGCAGTCTACGTCTGGTACCCAATGTGATTCAGCATTTTTCAATATAGGTTGGGGGTTTCAACCTCGTAGATGATGAAAGTAAACCAGAAAGGCGTCCTACAAAGCATATGCCCAAGCCAGCTGAATGGACAAATGAGTTCAATCCTGCATACTCTTACTACGCTTATTACTACTATGCAAACTTGTATACTCTCAATAAGGTTTGTAGGATACCGAAATCTCATTTTGTCATTGTTATGAAAAATGTTAGTATATGCTGATACACACTGTTAAGTGTATCCTAACAATTGATTGTTTAATTAGTGCCTAAAAATTATATGTTTTATGCCATGGTGGTATTCATTATTGCAGACCTGAAATGTCTAGGAATTCCAATTAATGACAACCTTAGCATGGTCAATTTATCTGAAGTGTCCTATCAAAAAAATATTTATCTGAAGTGATGTTGATCAAATATTCAGCTTTACTTTGTGTCACTGCCTTGGGTAATTTTAAAGGCATGGTGCCTGGAGTTCTCCTTGGACATTTTCCCTTTATTTAGGTCTGTTAAATTACAAGGAGTTCTCTTTGGGACCATTTATATATTGCATTCCTGGTGCTTCAAAAAAAAATTTAGTGTTTCCTCAATGGTAGCATGGTATGCCTGGTAGTGAAATCCTAAGGGTGAGATTCTATGGTGTCTGGAATATTTCATATTGTAATTCACATGAGTGAAAACTTGACTCTTTTCGCTACAGGAAGAGATGTTTGGAATTATTTTCTTTTGTTTTATTATTCATATGTTGTCAAGAACAATATATCAAGAAACCTTAGCTATATGTTCTATTTTGCGGAGCATTTGTACATAGGCTCCCAGCTTATTGGTAATGCATCGAGTGTTGTGATGCTGTCATTATGTTGCCATAATCTCTCTGTGTCCCACACATACACACACATACACATACACATACACCTACCCCTACCCCTACCCATATACACTAGTACTAGATCCACCCTACGGAGGGAGAGAATCATCTGTTCTGATAGATCATGAAGAAGTCAGCTATTTCATATTTCTAGTTATATTTTTCTTTCAGCTTCGTGAATCAAAAGGCTTGCCAACAATTAGATTCCGGCTTCACTGTGGAGAGGTTATTCTAATTTTACCTTTTGGGTCTCAACTCTCAAATTAAATTTCCTGTGTTACGCTCATGGTCATGGTTATGTTGCTTACAGAACCTTTGTGTTCCAGTTATGGAAGCTCAATTCCTGTGATCTTTGCGAGATAGCCAGAAATTCTGTCTATCAGTCTAGATTCTCACATCAAGCCAAGGTGAAAGATTTTATGATAAGCCATCAACGTTTGAGTTTTGTGATAAACATATTGTGCCGAAAGATTTTATGCTACAATGTGGATAGGCATGAATTTGTAAGGTGGCTGACTTTGGTTGGAACTTCAACCGGCTGTTGATTGTAAGAGCCATTGTGCAATATATTGTTTCAATCCACAACTCTGTTTTGCTTTTGCTTGACGTTGGTAATATGCTTGTATCTTTTGAGAAGAAGTAAGTCTGAGGGATAGCAATTATCTGGTAATTTCATACATTTTGTAATAGACTTAAAACTTTTTGTTCTTATGCCATTTTTGTTCTAAAAATGTGATTGATTACAAAATTGGATTTTAAATCTAACAGTGCGAAGTAGTTTTTGCGCATCTAGACAGTGGAAGATCAATTGACGAACAAGGTGTTGAAGATGTCTTTGAGCTTCTTTATGAAATAAATGAAAGAGTCAGGACTGGGATATGGGTTGGTGATTGTTTCATTTACATCAACTCTTCCTGGAGACTTAATTACTGTGTTGGTGGTGAGGTATAGTATATGGTTCATTGTTGTTCCTATATGCTTCATGTATTCGAAATTTATTTACAATTTTAATAAATTCAAGGAAGCCACATATTTCATGCATTAGGTAACCACGATGTTTTATTTGGACTGGCCTATGTACTTGCTGGGATATCTAGCCAATCAAAGTAAGGTGTATCTCATTGACAAAGAGTTCAAGTGAGTGACTTTTGTCATCTATTTTTCAAAAGCAACAACAACTAAGATCGCCACACTTGTATTTTATTCTTTTTTTCATTATATTGCAGTGTTATGGGATATACATTACTTATTAGCTTGATCAAGTATAAGACACTTGTGATGCGTGGTTACCTGGAACAACATAATAGGTATCTTTCACATTTGACTACCTTCAACAATGAGCAAAAGCACTTTATTGTTTGTTTAAAAGGCATGATAATTATAAGTAGATTTATGTGTAGGAAAAACATTTTGTCATTGCCTTAGATGGGTCATCTATTGCCTTAGCTTAAAAAACTCTTCCACCATGGAATCACTTTTACTGTTGTGTGCTTCCTGTTTGAAATATCTTTGTTATCTTTAGTTTTTATGTGTCATCTATATCTTAATGTTTTCAATTTGTTCTTGTTAAATTCTTCTTGAAGGATTGGATGAACAATTTTGTAGGCAAAAGCTAGAATGGCCACACGTGATATTTAGGTCTTAACAACCCCTCCTCCACTAGTTTGGGCATGCTTTGTACTGCATTCCAAATGACACTTTCATTAAGGAGCATCCGCCCGCCCCCTAACCCAAAATAAATAAATAAAAATATTCATCATCATATGATTATAATATTAATATGCAATGAAAAGCATTTATCATGGTTAAATATCATCTGCAGGTCAATCAGAAAGCTTCAGAATCTTTGGCTGATCCAGAAGAGTATCCTAATTTGTTTGAGGATTGGCAAGTCACACTTGCAGTCGAATCAAAAGTTGCAGAGACAAGGTTCCATTTAGCGACCTACTACTACCTTTTCTTTTCTTTTTTTTTGGTGATATTGTTACTGTTTGATTAACTTGCCTAGTCATGTAGATGTATGATATCTCCAATTTAGTTCATCAACTTAGTGTTACCCCACCCAAAAAAAACACAAAACACAAAAGAAAACAATAAAAAAAGAAAATGAAAAAACATATCCAAACTTCATTTTGTGTTACTTTTTAATGCTGATAGGCAATGCCTCCAATATGTGTCTACTTTTGGCGAGTTTGTGAAGCATGGTTAGCTATTGGTGTATCATATTCAATGATAGTCGCCTTAATTTATGAATTAGGAGCTGTACGCATAGCAAGAGTTGTATTGGTATTTGCAATTGGATTTACCTCCTAAAATTGTTTTGCAGGGGTACTTCTCTGCCGGCAGAGGAGTATGTAAACTACGCCAATAGGTCAAATGTAAACCTTGTGGAGGCTTTCAGAAACATGAGACCTGGCGCAAATGCTACGAATATGATATCCATCGAGGTAGTTCATTGTATATTTGTTGATGCATAACAGATAAGAAAACCCTTGCCTCCTCAACTCTTGCTATCCTGGCCCCTTCCACTAAATGGTAGTTAAATGAGTTTAGCCATATGATTGCACCATGCAGATGAATGATCAGTCAGCTAACAACCAAGTGATAAGAGGAGTAGGAGAATTAGTCTTTTACAACCATAAATAAAAGATCGTGTAAAAAGGCAATTCTGAAATTTAGTGTTGGTCACCATTTGAACAAAGAAGTCGAATGCCCCTATTTAGTGTTGGTCACCATTGTGCAATGATTTCTTTTCCTCTCTATAAGACACGTTTCCTCTACCAGAAGTGTTGATTTGTGAGCTGAGCTATGCTGCTGCAATTCCTGGGTTCCAAGTTAGGGGTTGTTTTGGTTGCTGAACAACTGATTTTTGCTGCTATGTTTCTGCTGTGTTGCTGAGCTGCTGAGCTGAAAGCTGCAATGGACAGCCAGAATAGGAGCTATGCTGCAAGTGGATCTGTTCCTCCTGCTTCAAGTCCTTTGCAAGCTGTTTGATGATGTAATGATTAGAGTTGTTGAACTGATGGCAGGGGTCAGATTGTGCAGGAGTTGAGCTGCAAATTGTGTTTGCTAGCTGCTTCTGCAGATGAGTTGTGTTGTGGACTAAAGCCATTTTTTCTATTTTTAGAATTTCTTGTTATTTGATTCTTATAATTCATTCTTTTCGGAAATAAAATTTTATTTTTTTTAAAAAAAGATGTGCAATGTATTAATTGTGTTAGTTTTTTATTGAACACAGGTATTGTTGGTGTACATGTGAAAAATTTTACTGGAATATTATTTTTGATGTAAAATAAAAAAAAATGAATTTTTTTGCGACGAAATAAAAATCGTCGTGAAAAATTGCAAGAACAAGCTTTTTTGCGATAATTTTTTTACGTCGTGAAAAGCTAATTAAATTATTATTTTTAATATGTTTTATTTATGAAAAAATTATTCGCGACGATGTTTTTACGTCGCGAGAAGTTAATTAAATTATTATTTTTTTACATTTTTTATTTATGAAAAAAAATTATTCGCAACAATTTTTTTAAGTCGCGCAAAGTTAATTAAATTATTATTTTTAATATTTTTTATTTATGTAAAAAATTATTCGCAACGATATTGTTTACGTCGCGAAAAGTTAATTAAATTATTATGTTTTACATTTTTTATTTATGTAAAAAATTATTTGTGACAATTTTTTTACGTCTCGAAAAAAAATTTTTTGCGATAAAAAAAAAATTTGTCGTAAAATACTTTATGCGACGAACACGCGACAAAAAAACTACGTCGCAAAAAATCATTGGCGACGATTTTTGTTAATTAAGCAATGAAAAAAATTGTCGCAAAAAATAATTTTTGTTGTAGTAATACTTAATGAACAAATATGTCATGTTAGATGAATCTTTTGAAAATATGTCATCCAATTCTGTTTGTACACAGAGGTTTAGTATATGTTCGAGTTCAGTGTTTGATTATTTTGTGTTTAAATTCAATGTTCAATTTTTTTTTTAGTTACACCGTGCCTTCAAGGACGGGTTATCCCTAGTATACAAATATGGAAGCATAGATAATGGGAGTTCAGTGTTTGATTATTTCGTGTTTAAATTCAATGTTCAATTTTTTTTTTAGTTACACTGTGCCTTTAAGGACGGGTTATCCCCAGTGTACAAATATGGAAGCATGGATAATGGCTCTCCGGGATGGATTACAGCTTTTATTGGATTATGGCTTGGAGGATTATCCACTAATTATTGAATCTGACTCAGCTTTTGGTAGATATGGTTAAGCAAGATTCTCTCCTTTGTTGGCAAATACTGGACTCCATTCAGCAAGATCTTCTATCTTCATGATTAGGAGTAAGGGTGCCAATTTTATCCGTTACCACGAACTTGACACAGACTTGATCAGATACAAAACTCGAAAATAATACGATTAGTTGACATAAGTAATAAATAAGTCAAAATAAGGTTTGACATGAATAATACGATTAATGAGTACTGTAGATAGAAAATAATTATTTAATGAGTATTGTAGACAAAAAATAAGAATTTTATAATTTTTTAAATAGTATTATATGAATTGTTATCAAATTAAATAATTTTTTATTAACACGAATATTGGCATAAACACAACAGGTACCGAAAGTAACACGATACAAAAATAACAAAATTAAAAGTGACACGATATAAAAATGACACGACACGACACGATTTACACTCCTAATTAGGAGGCGGATTTATTTTCAAATTTATCATACCTATAGAAAAGGTAATTCGGTTGCAGACTCTCTAACAAATAAAGGAGTGGCTGATGTTGCTTATCTTATCTATTAATCCACAAACACAAGGCTGCTGTTGTTGCAAGATCTACGTTAAATTAGAGTCCAAGGCAGAAAGTCTCTCTTGCACCTATCCATTCATAGAAGATATCTTCTCTAAGCTGCCTTAGGATTTTAATTTTTTCTAAAATGTAACAACATGCATTTATTTTCTTATTTTAATTTTTCAAATGTTGTCATTACTTGCATTTTAGCGGTAAGGCATATACTTTCCCTCTAAGTAGGTGTAATTCTTTTTTGAATTATAAATAAAATTATGCCTCCGTACTATCGAGTTTTTTTTTTAAATGATCGATAGTGGGTATCTCAAACCCAATGCCAATGGAGGTAATCTTATTCTAGAAAAGGCAAATTGCAAAAATCAAGTTTCTTTTCAAAATTAATTCCATTCCTAAAATATTGAACAAAAAAAAAAAAATCTTTTCTAAATCGTGTTCTCTTCCTAGAATAATCTCCTTTCTAAAATTAAGTTAATTCCTTAAAAAACACCTGAAAAGGATATTGCTTTGTTATTAATAATTACCATATACTAAATAGTATATTATTGCAGTAATTGAAACTTGGGTGTTTCATTTCTAGAATTGATATTCTCATTTCACATAACGATTATTCTCATTCATACGAAGATTTTATATATCACAATACATCAACACAATCCCAATATGGTGCTTCTGCATAAGATGAGAAAAAGCATTAAAAATACACTACAAAGACAGATATAAAACATATATAAACCAAAGGAATAAACTATATAAAATATATAAACAGACACCGAATATCTGGGTACATTTTCATTTCATTTCACACTTTAATTCAAAAGGCAAAAAAAAAAGGTCTCCCTTTTGTTTTGACAATCATACAACTTACTACATTAGCAATCACCACTCTTATTTGTGGGAGATCCGAAACACAACACCTAACACAACCTCCAAACCAAAAAAAAAAAACAAATTGTCTTTTACCCATCCGTTAACCCCGTACATTCTTATTCTTGATGCTTAAAGTGCTAAACCCTCTTCTGCCAGACAAAGATCACTCATTGCTATCCCTCCCATGAGGCCTCTTGGCGAGTCACCTGTTGTTTATTGGTCATCTGCGTCTCATTCTGACCATCATCCTCGCCTGAAATTTCCTCCAATGATCGCCCTTTTGTCTCCGTCACTAAGAACGTACAACAAAACCCTAGCATGTTTGTGAATGCCAAAAATATCATCGTATGCTTGATTTTTTTAATATTGCCATCCAATGTGTAGCTCTGCACGGCAAACGCCCCAATCATTGCGCCAGCCTTCCCAGAAGCGGCGCTCAATGCATGGCACGTGGATCTCAAACGAGTAGGGAAAAGCTCAGCTGGAAGAACAAATGTTGTGCTGTTTGGACCAAAATTTGCAAAGAAGAATGTCAATCCATACAAAGCTGCAAAAATCCATTTGTGCTCTTCATTTTTGAGGTAATCATATTTGATACCCATAATAAGCATGAAGACGGACATCATGAAGAACCCGACAAGTTGAATGTAAAATCGACCCATGCTTTCGATGAAATAGACTGTGAACCAATAGCCAGGGAATGTGCCAAGCAAGGCAACCACAAACATTGCTCTTGATGTCTCGAACATTTCTCTGAGAGCACTCACATTAACATCTTTGTTAGTGAGGCCCATAGTTGGAAATATGTCCTTTTGAGTGAGGTTTTGGCTATAGAAAGCTATGTCTAACAAGAACCATGTACTCATGGTACCTATTAGGTGAAGTCCATGGCGTTGAAAGAACTCTCTTGAGATTAATGGGTAGTTGTTGGAAGCTTTGAACTGTGATAACTTGTCATGATCTTCTTGAATTTCGATATCAAGAACACGACCCATGTCAATCGCGGCTTGTCTGGCATTCCCTTCTATAATTGCTGTGTAACGTCCTGTTTCAGGCATCTTCATCCTCCAATAATAAGTCAAAAGTGCTGGAAGTGCTCCNTGCTTGATTTTTTTAATATTGCCATCCAATGTGTAGCTCTGCACGGCAAACGCCCCAATCATTGCGCCAGCCTTCCCAGAAGCGGCGCTCAATGCATGGCACGTGGATCTCAAACGAGTAGGGAAAAGCTCAGCTGGAAGAACAAATGTTGTGCTGTTTGGACCAAAATTTGCAAAGAAGAATGTCAATCCATACAAAGCTGCAAAAATCCATTTGTGCTCTTCATTTTTGAGGTAATCATATTTGATACCCATAATAAGCATGAAGACGGACATCATGAAGAACCCGACAAGTTGAATGTAAAATCGACCCATGCTTTCGATGAAATAGACTGTGAACCAATAGCCAGGGAATGTGCCAAGCAAGGCAACCACAAACATTGCTCTTGATGTCTCGAACATTTCTCTGAGAGCACTCACATTAACATCTTTGTTAGTGAGGCCCATAGTTGGAAATATGTCCTTTTGAGTGAGGTTTTGGCTATAGAAAGCTATGTCTAACAAGAACCATGTACTCATGGTACCTATTAGGTGAAGTCCATGGCGTTGAAAGAACTCTCTTGAGATTAATGGGTAGTTGTTGGAAGCTTTGAACTGTGATAACTTGTCATGATCTTCTTGAATTTCGATATCAAGAACACGACCCATGTCAATTGCGGCTTTTTTGGCATTCCCTTCTATAATTGCTGTGTAACGTCCTGTTTCAGGCATCTTCATCCTCCAATAATAAGTCAAAAGTGCTGGAAGTGCTCCTAGCATTAACACGATTCGCCACACGTAATCTGCTTCTGGTTCTGTAGAAAGAACATGATTCGTTCGGAAGTTTGGTCCTTCATAGTTGCTAAGGAAGATACTAGAAAGTACCATAGACACTAGCCCGGCAAAGATGATACCAACACCTTGCATGGCAAATACTGCGGCGACGAACCTCCCACGTGTTTTTTTGTTAGCATATTCAGACATGATCGTGGCCGAGAGCGGATAATCTCCCCCAATGCCAAATCCGAGCCAGAACCTAAAGAAGCAAAGTGTGCCTATCACAGCTTTAGCACTGAAGCCAAAAGAAAGGCCAGAGCAAATGGCACAAAGGACCATAAGTATTAAAGTGACACCATAAACTTTTTTCCGTCCTAACTTGTCGCCGAGCCAACCAAAGACTAGTTGACCGGTTAGTGTACCAAAAAGGGCAACACCGACAACCAAATTGTTAATTGTATGAGGAAGTTTGCCAGGCTTAGTTGTCGATGGATCGTAATAATAAAGACGACCTAAGAGTTTGGAGACGGTGGAGATGCAAAAGAGATCGTAAGCATCAGTGAAGAAGCCCATCCCAGCAATCACAATGGCTGTGATATGGTACCTTTGGGTTCGTGCAGTGTCGAGAGCATTAAGCACGGCAATGTTTTTTGAGGCCATTTTTGTTGATGGGCTTGCTTGATGAATTCATTTGTGGTGTGCACGATTGTATATATAGACATTGTTGGATTGTAGTGAATGACACAAAGTATTATAATGGTCGTTTAAAGCTATGCTAAAGGGGTGACAAGAAGATATTGATAGAAAGGTACGTAAATGTATAATATATTCTCGTGCCTAGTAAAGCTCCAGTATATGCTTGCCTTGTGGTTATTGGGTCTGATGATTCAATGGAAAATTGACAAAGAGTTAGGCTTTGTTGATAAACGGATAGACTCCCTAGACTTCTAGTCGAATAAATAAATCAAATGAACTTGGTTAAATATGACACGAATGTAACTCAATACAATTTGTAAATGATATATTCTTGACTCAATACAAATTTAATTATACATGATTAATAAATGAATCAGTACAAATTGTAAAAATTTTAACACAACATCATTTATTTCTTTAGAACTACGAAAGGACAAGAAAGATAAATTGACAATTTGCTTGTGGTGATGTTGTTTGTTTTCATATATACAATAAAGGCCAACAAGGAGAACGAGGACAAACAATGCACTAGGACAGACATGAGTAAACCTAATGCTATGAACAACTAATAGACGAATTAAATATGACGGTTCGGCAGCCTCCAGAAAATTAGACTCTTCGGTAATTTCACCGCATAAAATGGCAGATCCCTTTGTTCATTCCAAAGTAATACAATACACACACACACACACTATATATATATATATATATATATATATATATATATATATAT